GGGTTCAAAGGGCTGGGATACAGGAATGAGGCACCATGCCTGGCCTGCCTGGAAACCCTTTGTACCATCTTACCTCTGAGCCATTGCTTGTCCTGCCCCTGCCACCTGCACTGCCAGCCCTGCTCACCCTGAGGTAATCCTCTTACACTGGCTGAGCATCTCTTTTAGTAGAGACAGGGTTTTGCTATGTTGATCAGGCTGATCTTGAACTCCTGACCTCAGGTGATCCACCCACCTTGGCTTCCCAAAGTACTGGGACTATAGGCATGAGCCACTACACCCAGTCTATTCTGGACATTTCACATGAATGGAATCATACACCACATGGTCTTTTGTGTCTGGCTTCTCTCACTTGCCGTCGTGTGTTCAAGGTTCAGCCACATCGTACCGTGTCGGTGCCTCATTCCTTTTTATGGCCAAATACTATTTTACTGTATGAATACATCACACTTTATCCAAACATTTGGATTCTTTCCACTTTTTGGCTATAGTGAATAGTGCTGTTATGAACATTCGTTTACACGTTTTTGTGGCTGTGTGTTTTCATTTCTCTTGGGCCTATGCCTAGGGAGAAAATTGTTGGTACCTTTGCTGCCTTTGAGTCCTTTGCTGTCCGCCCAGCAGGCAGTGTGTCCTTCCGCCATTGCTAATCCACAGAACGTCTTCTTCATCCACTTAAACCCATCCATGCCTCTCCCAAGCTCTCAGGCTAAAATACAGACCACTCCCCCCAACCACCAGCCTGTTCTCCAGTCCCTTGAATGGGTAATGCTTTTCCTACCTCTGAGCCTTTGCACAGGCTGTTTCCTCTTCATAGCACACTGTTCCCTGCTGCCCCATTCTTCTCCAGCTCCTGGCCTCAAGCGATCCTCCCACCTGGGCCTCCCACAGTGTTGGGATCCCAGGCATGAGCCCCCACCCCCAGCCACCACCGCCAGCCCCCACCCCCGGCCCCCACCCTCGGCCCCCACTCTACTCTCCTTTGGGCTGGTTTCTCCTTGTCTCTCACATCTCAGGCCCTCCCCACAACACTCCCCTTGGGGAGATGCCCCTTCTGATGTCCTCCTTCATAGCAGCAATATCCGCAGTGTGCATTTATTGACTGGTTCTTATGTTTGCTTATTCGTCGCCATCTCTCCCACAAGTCTGTGCTCTTAATTACAGCATCAATAATAGTAACTGCAGCTGAGACTTCCGTCAAATTCACTAAGCCTCAGCCTTGTTCTAAGCACTTTAAATATTTTAACCCACTTGGCTGATGTGGTGGCTCACACCTGTAATCCCAGCGCTTTGAGAGGCTCAGGCAGGTGGATCATCTGAGGTCAGGATTTTGAGACCAGCCTGGCCAACATGGTGAAACCCCGTCTCTACTAAAAGTATAAAAATTAGCCAGGTGTGGTAGTGCGCACCTGTAATTCTAGCTACTCAGAAGCCTGAGGCAGGAGAATCACTTGAACTGGGGAGGAGGAGGTTGCAGTGAGCCAAGATGGCGCCACTGCACTCCAGCCTGGGGGACAGAGCGAGACTCCATCTCAAAAGAAAAACAAAAAACAAAAAACATCTCAATCCCCATGATAACCTCATGAGCCCCAGTTTTCAGTTGAAGAAATGAAGGTTCAGAGAGGTGAAGTGACTTTCCCCTGGTCACACAGCTGGTATGGAGCCAAGTTTCAAAACCAGGCAGCCAGGCTCCAGAATCTGTGTTCTGGGCCACTCTGGGGTCTGAGGCTTTCCCAAAGGCTCTCCTGGGTCTGAAACACATTGCCCCGCTCATATGTAGTGATCCCAAGCACAGAGGCAAAGACCATGAATCCTGGAGCCAAACTGCCTGGACTTAAATCTACCTTCTGCTACTGATGAGCTGTGTGTCCTTCAGCTGGTTACTTAACCTCTCTGAGCATCTGTTCCCTGTCCTGTAAAATGGAGCTAATATGTTTCTAACTCAAAGTGTGGTTGAGAAGATTAAAACAACATCCATACATCCAGCACATTGGACACGTTTAATAAATATTAGCTATTGGCCTGGTGTGGTGGCTCATGCCTGTCATCCCAACACTTTGGGAGGTTGAGGTGGGAAGCTAATGTGAGCCCAGGAGCTCAAGGCTGCAGGGAGCTAATAGTACACCACTGCACTCCAGCCTGGGCCACAGAGCAAGACCCTGTCTCAAAAAAAAGTATATATTTAGGTGGGGCGCAGTGGCTCATGCCTGTAATCCTAGCACTTTAAGAGACCAAGGCAGAAGGATCGCTTGAGCTCAGGAATTCAAGAGCAGCCTGGGCAAAATAGCGAGACACGTTCCACTACTAAAAATGAAATGTAAAAGAAAAAATGTATTTATAGTACAGACATGATATTAATGAATAAAATGAAAAAAAATGCCTTTCTATGCTTGGCTTTCTGGGGTCTGTGCAAGGAATGGCCCAATCAGGATTGCAGAGTCAGAGGCGCTGATGCACATCGAGTACTTTATTGATTGATTGATTGACTTTCGAGACAGAGTCTTGCTCTGTCACTCAGGCTGGAGTGCAGTGGCTTGATCTCGGCTCATCGCAACCCCTGCCTCCTGCGTTCAAGTGAGTCTCCTGCCTCAGCCTCCTGAGCAGTTGGGATTACAAGTACGTACCACCATCCCTGGCTAAATTCTGTATTTTTAGCAGAGGAGGGGTTTCACCATGTTGGTCAGGCTGATCTCGAACTCCTGACCTTGTGATCTGCCCACCTCAGCCTCCCAAAGTGGTGGGATTATAGGCGTGAGCCACCGCGCCCGGCCACATTTAGTATTACTCATTCAATGGACACACGGTTTTTGAGCACCTCCTCTGTGCCTTATAAGGCTGAGCTCCAACCAGCCCATTGCAGGATGGGGGGCGTGGCTGGGGCTGGGGAGAGACCTGATTCACCAGCTCTTCCCTGAGCCCCTGGTCTCCCTGCCCTACTCTGCTCTGTCCCGCAGTGTGGCCAAGTGCCTGGGTGCCAAGACGGTGGCCGCACGGGCCCTGGAGTGCACGCGGGTGTGCGAGATCCATTCTGAAGTGGTGGAGGATGCCGAGGCTGTGAGCGCTGTACAGCAGTTCCTGGGTGAGTGAACACCGTCCCCCACCTGGGCTTGGAGATCACAAAGTCCCTGCATCCCCTAGCAGGTGTGTGTTCACTCTTGTCTGTATCCTGAGCACCAGGTGCTGGCTAGGTGTGCAGTTACTATGCGCCAAGTGCACTTGGAGTAGATGGAAGGGGGTGGGGGTAAAGAAGGAGTGTGTCCTGCTGTCTCTAGCCCCCAGACTTTTATACATGTTCCTCCTCTCTCTGGCTGGCCCTGTCCCTATTGGTTTTATGTGATTAAGGGCTACTCAGCCACCATGGCACCTCCTCCAGGAAGCCTCCCCTGATCTCCCACCCCACCCTGCCTAGGTTGGGGACCTCCAATGCACCACTCCCTGTGTTCATAACCTCCTGGTTTTTATCCCTTTACATCATAGATTGTGAGCCCCATGAGGGCTTGTGTGTTTCAGTCACTGATGTGTCCCTAGGGCCTTCCTGGCACAGGGCATGGCAGGTTGTAGGCACTCAATAGATGTTTGTTGATTGAAAGGATGAATGTATGAGTGAGTGTAAAGGTGGATAATGGATAGATGGACAGTGGGTGGAAGGACGGATGGATGATGAAGTGATAGATTGATGAATGGCATGGAAATGGATGGATGGACAGGCACATTGATTAATGAACATGTTGATGGATAGACAGACAGTCAAATGATGGATAGAGGAATGGATAGATGGCTGTGAATGGGTGGATGGATGGGTATGTTGATGGATGGGTGCACTGATGGATGGACAGATAGTCTAATGATGGATAGAGGAATGGATGGATGGAGAGAGAGATAAAAGGTGGGTGGGTGGAGGGGTAGGAGGCCAGGCTGATGGATGGGGAGAGTGTGAGACAAGTGATGGATTGCCAGCCGAGCAGATGAATGGCTGGCTGGCTGGAGAGGTGGCTGCAAGGGTCTGCGGTGCCCAGGGCCTGCTGAGCACTGACTGTTCTTCTTCCCTTTGCCTCCTCTCCCATCCCCCTGGTCCCGGCAGATGATGAGCGTATGCTGGTGGAGCCTGCCTGTGGGGCAGCCTTGGCAGCTGTCTACTCAGGTCTCCTGGGGAGGCTCCAGGCTGAGGGTTGCCTGCCCGCTTCCCTGACCTCAGTTGTGGTCATCGTGTGTGGAGGTAACAGCATCAATAGCCAAGAGCTGCAGGCTCTGAAAACCCAGCTGGGCCAGGTCTGAGGGCCTAGCCTAGCCCCAAGAGCCAGAGAGGTACATGGAGACTCCTGTAGCTGGCTGAGTGCGGCTCAGTGCTGATGGGTGGCAGTGGAAGCTGCCCTGCGCACCTGTGCTGGGTGCCTCCCGAAGTAAGCCCTCCCGGACTGCCCCTTTTGGCTCCCTGACAACTCCAGTCAATAAACACTTTCTGAGCTAAGTTTGTAAGTGCTGTGGATCCTATCTTTCCAGTTCCATGAGCTCACAGGAGACAACCCACAATCCTGTTGCCACTTCTGTGATAAAGTGACTCCAAGCCCCATCTCAGGCAACAAAGCCAAGACTTGCGAACCTGAGTCTCTAAAGGAATCCAACCATTCTGAGATCTTAAATGAGCTTCCTTTACCTGGAGGACCAGCCCAGGTTGGCCAGGTCAGGAAGGAGAGGGAGATGTTCTGTCACTTCTCAGGCCTGGGCAGGAGAGGACAATGTCACCTGTCTTCATCCAGTGCTTGTTATGTACCAGAAACTCTGCTAAGAACTTTCTACTCATTGTCTAATGTTCACAAAGCTACTAGGAAGTAAAAACCATTATTACCATCCCTGTTTTACAGATGCAGAAACTGAGGCTTGGGATGTTTACATAACTTGTCCAAGATCACATAGTTAGGATATGGGATCACTTGTCTCTCTCTCCATCCATCAACCTGATCACCTATCCCTCTACCCATCCATCTTTTATCTCTATCCATGCATCCATCCTTCCCTCTATCCATCATTAAACTGTTTGTCCATCCATCAGTGTATCCATCCATCCACATATCCATCCATTCATCTATAATCCGTCCATCCATCCATCCATCTATGCATCCATTCGCCCATTCCTCTATCCATCATTAGACCATCTGTCCATCCATCAGTGTATCCATCAATCAACATATCCATCTATCCAGATTCAAACTGATTTTCAGGGTCACTCTGTATTGCTTCAATCTGAACTCTCTGTGTTGGGGTGGATGGTGGTGGAATATTGAAGAAAGGGTAGGGAAGAGTAGGTTGGTCTGGACACACCTGTGGGTCACAGAGAGAGGCAGGTTGTATGCCTGGAATTGGGCACCTCCAGCTTCTGGGAAGTCTCTCTTAGGAAGCGGGATGGAAAGTTGCATTCCCTTGAGCCACAGGGGGGCAGCAAAGTGTCTCCTATGGGGAAGGCTGGCTCCAGGTAGGGGAGACCTTCCCCTTGGGTCCTCCTGGACGCTACCTCTTGTGGGGCGCTCACCCCAGTTGGGCATGCTGAGGTCCACACGGTCTTGGCATGCAGGAGCCGTTTCCAACCCCTCACAGCCCTGCCAGGAAGCAAAGCTCAGAGAGTGCAGGGTCTGTGCAGCATCATATGCCCTGGCAGAACCGGATCCTGGCCCCCAGCAACATCTTCTCTCCTGACTCCTGTGGGCTGTGTGACCTTGGGCTAGTCTCTTTCCCTCTCTGGGCCTCAGGCTGCACCTCATGCTGTAGGAGACCCACTTGCCACTTCCCACCTCTTTTTCTTTGCTCAGGCTGTTCCCTTCACCAGATGCCTCCTCCTTTTCCTTCTTTGTTTTTTAGGGAAAGGGCCTTGCTCTGTCACCCAGGCCAAAGTGCAATGGCACAATCACAACTCACTGCAGCCTCGAACTCCTGCACTCAAGCGATCCTCCTGCCTCAGCCTCCCGAGTAGGACCATAGACATGTGCCACCACGCCCAGCTAATTTTTAAATTATTTTTTGTAGAGATGTGGTCTTGCTCTGTTGCCCAGGCTGGTCTTGAACTTCTGGGCTCAAGCCATCCTCCTGCCTTGGCCTCCCAAAGTACTGGGATTACAGGCACCATGCCCAACCCCTTCTTTTCTGAAGAGCAGGATTTGAGAGCAACCGTGACCTCCCTCTGTGCCCCTGCTGCCTTGGTCTCATTTTCTCTTTAACCCCACACTTAACTCTCGGTAGCCAGGGACCACCACCCCCACTGCCCCACCATCCCTGCCGCCCACCAGCTCCAGAAACCCCCGTGAGTCAGTCCCATTTGCTTGGAGTCATGCTTTGTGAATTCCCCAAATAGAGGAGACATGAAGAGCACCAGAGCTGGATGCAGCCAGACCTGAGCCTGGACTCTTCCTGCTTAGCAGCCTGGCCACCTTGAGCAAAGGACGCTCCTTCTCAGTGCCTCAGTGTTCTCCTCTGTAAAATGGGTGGTTGGAGGATTGTTACTGTGGACCCGACATATCTAGTCTTTCAATAAATGTCTATTCTTACTGTCTCCTGAGCATTCTTCCCCAAACAATGAGAGGAACTAGAATTGATTCATGTATTGAACACCTGCAGTACACTATGGACTTCAGCAGCTACTTCATTTAATCCCACAATAACCCACATGGTAGATGCTACTATTATTCCCATTTTGCAGATGAGGAAACTGGGGCATGGAAGAGTTAAGCCACTTAGTGTGGGTCACCCAGCTGTATGGGAGCCCCAATATGTGGAAATCTGAGGCTCGTGAGTCTAACCACTCTGGCTCATACACTTCCTTTCATTTGCTTAAGCTCTGTCCCCTGCCTGCCATGCCTGCTCTGCTTCTGAATCCTACACATTCTTCACAGCCCAGCGTGAGTGCAGCCTCCTCCCTGAAGCCTTCCTGGATTGCTTCAGCCAGTGAGGATAGTGCCCCAACCCATGCTCCTCCAGGTGAGGTACAGAGCCCACCTCAGCTCCAGGTGCTCTGTCTCCCAGCCAGGCCCCCCCCACCCCGCCCACCGTCTCATGCTGTTTGCTCCCCTCCTGGGAGACTTGTCAGCTGCTGTTTACTTCCCTCTTGGTCTCAATGAGTTGGAGATAAGAAGCCGAGGGGGCTGTTGACCCTGTCCAGATAACACATGTCAATTAACTCAGTTTAGCCCTTCCTGGTTGACACCCAAGGAACGCGGAGACCAGGATGAGGCACAGGGAGAGAGCCAGGAGACGGGAGTGTTTGAAGCTGAGGCCGTGGCTGCTATGATGCGTAGCTCGGAAGGCAGAGGCTCTTCCGATTCTGCCTCTGCCTTCTTGGCCTCTCAGCTGGGGAAATGCGGAGCTGGGGCCTCTCTGTGTTTGTCTAGGCTGCATAAAAACACTGCAAACTGGGACACCAGGTGTGTGTCTGCCTGAGATGTGCCAGCCACCCACCCTAGCCGGGGTCCCTCTCCTGAGGCTGCGGGCCCCTTTGGCTCTCTGTGCAGCTGAGGCTCCCTCTGTCCTCTCATCAGATGACCCTAATACCCCCACCTCCAGGGTTCTCACCTCCATCTAGCCCTCCTTTCTTTCTTACTTCTTCTTCTTCTTTATTGACAGAGTCTTGATCTGTCGCCAGGCTGGAGTGCAATGGTGCAATCTCGGCTCGCTGCAATCTCTGCCTCCCGGGTTCAAGCGATTCTCCTGCTTCAGCCTCCTGAGTAGCTGGGATTATAGGCGCCCGCCACCACACCCAGCTAATTTTTGTATTTTTTAGTAGAGATGGGGTTTCAGCATTTTAGTCAGGCTGGTCTCGAACTCCTGACCTCAGGCGACCCACCCGCCTCAGCCTCTGAAAGTGCTGTGATCACAGGCGTGAGCCACGTGCCCGGCGGTCCATCTAGTCCTTCTAGTTTTATTATTTATTATTATTATTATTATTATTTTTTTCTGAGATGGAGTCTTGCAATGTTGCCAGGCTGGAGTGCAGTGACACAATTTTGGCTCACTGCAACCTCTGCCTCCTGGGTTCAAGAGATTCTTCCACCTCAGCCTCCCGAGTAGCTGGGACCACAGGCAAATGCCACCATGCCCGCCTAATTTTTGTATTTTTAGTAGAGACGGGATTTCACCATGTTGGCCAGGATGATCCGCCTGCCTCGGCCTCCCAAAGTGCTGGGATTACAGGCGTGAGCCACCGCGCCCGGCAGTCCTTCTAGTTTTAAAGCCAGGTGACAGGGAGGCTTGGAATCTTGCCTTTCATTGGCAGAGGAGGTGCTCTTACCCCATGCTGGCCCCAGGCAGGGCAGGTACAGGAGGAGGGGGATCCAGGGTCAGACCTTCTCCTCCCCAATCCCATCCTCAGCCTTGGCAGGAGCCCAGTCCAGAGCAAAGTAAGTGCACCAGCACCTGCAGAGGATGGTCTCACTCTCATGCAGGGAAGTGATGGCTCAGACTGACTTTGTGTCTTCTTCCTTTTGGGGTGCTATAACCAAGTGCCATAAATGGGGTGGCTTAGAAACAATGGGAATGTATTGCTCACTGTTCTGGAGGCTGGAAAGTCCAAGACCAAGGGGCCAGCAGATTCGGTGTCTGGTGAGGACCCGCCTCTCATCAACAGTCATCTTCTTACATTGCCCTGCCCTGGTGGAAGGATCTCTCTCAAACCTCTCTTATTTTTTTAATTTTTTGGGGATGGAGTCTCATTCTGTTGCCCAGCCTGGAGTGCAGTGGTCCAATCTCAGCTCACCGCAACCTCCGCCTCCCAGGTTCAAGTGATTCTTGTGCCTCAGCCTCCCAAATAGCTGGGATTATAGGCACATGCCACCATGCCTGGCTAATTTTTGGGTAGAAACGGAGTTTCACCATAAGGGCCAGACTGCTCTTGAACTGCTGACCTCAAGTGATCCACCTGCCTCAGCCTCCCAAAGTGTTGGGATGACAGGTGTAAGCCACCATGCCTGGCCTCAGACCTCTCTTATAAGGAACTGATCCTTTCATAAAGGTCCTCTCCCCATGACCCAGTCACCTCCCAAAGGCCTCACCTCCTAAAACCATGGGTGTCAGGGTTTCAACCTGTGAATTTTGGAGGGACACAAACATTTCGACCACAGCACTTTGTACCCTGTCGGCTCTGTGGTTGTGTGTGCACCTGTGTAATTGTGTACCCGCATGCATGTGCGTTCGTGTCCACGAGTGCATGAATACTTGTGTGTTTATAAGGGCATAGACACCGTAATTGAGGGCTACTTGGTTTCCCCCTGAGTGTAGCGCTTCACATTGTTGTATTTGGGACTTGCAATGTAATCACTAGCCAGACATCATACTTGGATATCTATGGTGAAGCGGCCTGGGGGCTAGATAGACATTAAGGAGTGATGAGGATTGGAGCCAAATGGAGGGCTTATGGTCTGTCTAAAGGACTTAGCCGCTGCTCAGCTCCAGCCAATTTCAGGCTCAACATAACACATCGCCCAATTTCATAGTGT